GTAGACTAACTTTAAACTAAACTTAATTCAGAAGGCACAAAGAATGTTTGATATCTTTGACCTGCGAGAAACCGAGGTGGCAAATGTTGGGCAGAGTCAGTTCTGGTGTTTGAATGTATCATGGATAATGCGTGAATTAGTCATTATTAAAAATGTATGCAGCAAGTGAGGTTGAAATTAAAACACATTGGAATCTAACTTAAATGTCGTGATTACAGTATACACTAACCATTACTTATTATTGTCCTTACTGGCATCCTAGCACGTCACAGCAGCTCCCTCGTGCTCCGTCCTGTTGTACAGCAGCCATCTCATTGTCTCCATGCTCACTGTATCTAGTAGACATCGATTGATACATCTTCTTTCTTTGCCCCTGTTTAATTTCAATTTCCAACAGGTGATTTACCGTCTCTCACACTTTTCTCTCAACGTCTCCAGAACGATTCGCTCTCAGTATGCCTGCCCTGTCCATACTTCTTAATCAAAAAGCTACTGCAGACACAACCATTTCCTTTCACGCAAACTGACCGACGCTGCCTAGGGAAAAGTCAGTTGGTGGTCCAGAGCCACTGCCAAAGAGCACAGAGACATGGTAGTACAGCAGACAACGGACGCCGAAAACGAGATTTCTGTGCAAAAAGCCGCACAGCAGTCGCAGCAAGGCCAGTGGATTGGCCTCCAGAGCACCTTGCCACGAGTACTCACATGTATTGAGATCTGGCGAATGGCCCCGATGCAGCTGAGTTTTTTCATTAGATCTGCGTACGATGTGTGACCGTCTGGCGTCAACATGGTGAAATGGCTTGCGACTACCGACCCGACAGGCCCACTGTGCAGAGCCAAGCAGAAGCTCGAGCACGTTTTGTTAGCGTGCAAACAAGCCCTAGGCCAGGGACGATTTCTTGGCGCCACAACAAAGTCCTGAAAGAGTTAGCGGACGTTGTGGACCAAGCCAGGATGAAGGCCAACGCGAGAGCCAGTCCTACCGTCACCCCCATGGGCTTCCTTAAGGCTGGGCCGATTTCTAGAAGTAAAATCAATAAGGTCGCATACGCTCTGGTAACACTTGACTGTGCGAGGGACAGGTTACTGGCTGTCGACCTGCCTGGTTTTATGAGGTACCCAGAGTCAATCCATAAGATTCGCCTGAGACCTGACATAGTCATGCACTCTGCGGAAAAACTCTAGCTCATCCTGATTGAGCTGACCGTGCCGTACGAGTCACGGATGGGAAAAAATTACATGTATAAGCTCGAAAAATACGGTGAGCTTGTGGTCGGTCTGAGAGGAGACGAAGCGTACGCAGTAAAAATCTACGTCGTCAAGGTAGGCGCAAGAGTTGTTATCTCCACTTCCACGTACAATGTGCTACAGCAGCTGGGCTTGCGAGGAAACGGGCGTAAACGGTGACTAAAACAACAGGGCAAAGCTGCTGAAAGAGCTTCAAGCTGGCTCTGGACGCAACAGAACGTCGAGAGGGATGGGCTTCGGTAGACTGGTCCGAGTCCCTGGAGGAAATTGGCTTCTTATCACTTAAATGCCTTGTGTGTCCGATAAATGTCTGCCAGTGTCTCTCTGTAAAATGCCAGTCTAACATGTGTCCGATGAACTAACCGTAAGCTTGTCACTTGGTCGTTAAGGTAGCTTGCTGATCTAATTGGCTACCGCAGCTACAATATATAAGTAACTTTGAATCTAACAGTACCCGTTGCATAGTCACCATTCATCATGACTCTGTCCGAGAGTCCGAATAAGTGCAGCAGGATAAGATCTTCATGACCCAGGTCAGTCCACCCGCCGAGATTGTATAGGAGGTAATGGGCCGAAACTGTTGTCGACGAGGGATCTTTCTACTGATAACTGGTTTACTCCAACTGTACATGCTCCCCTGTGGAGTTCTTATTATTATCCTTTTATCCCACGGGTCCTGGTGTGTTAAGCGAAGGAATTTGTCTGTTAGGATCTTCTTATGTGTATTCACTGAGACTCACTATCAATTCGTGAATTATTCTCAGTGCTGCTAACCATGCAAGTGTCTCCGTGACCGCTTTTATCTCGATATTCACCTTTACAAATAGTTGAACTGAACACCTGAATGTCTTATTTTACTGTCTTCCCATTCACTGCCCTATGTACTTCATTAATCATTAATCGATGGGAATTATTCGACCCGTAAACATTCATCATTAACAGCTGTCTAATGTCAGAACAAATCTATACCACATCACAGAAAGCTACCTAGATTTTGTCAGAGGTTTGACATGTGACCCAGGGAAGAATCAGTCAAGACAAAATCTGAGTCCTCAAGCAGGATGTCTTGCTTTTTGACCATGGCACAGTAGATTCTTATCTAATCATCTAGGCCTACTAACTCATCAACTTTGTCATATTCAGAGGGAAAAAAACTACATAGTAATTAGTATGCAACGCTCAAACAAGCCATTGGCGATACACCTATTCATTGCTTTATAGATAATGTGCTGATTACTATACAACATAGGACTGCTTAGAATTTACCAAAAAAGGTTAGCTGCGTATCCTTTACAGGACGTTGTAGAACCAACCCCAGCAGCCCCTGGCTGTTGGGTGGTTTCTCTAGGCAAATTTACGTCCAGTTACGACGGTTGGCCCTCTGATATCACTGTCGAAACCAACGCAAGGCGCATGGTCCGCAGCTGGGATCGAACCCGGCAACCCGACATTACGAAGCGTTCGCACCGACTTAGCCACAGATCCGACATTAAATAAGAAATTAAAATTTCGTTCGGTGGAGCAACCATACAAAACAAATTCTAAGAGAACGGCGAGGTCCTCAAGCAGGTTTTTATTTTATTTTTATTTTTGTGAGAGTTCAGCAGCATGACCATCTTATCTATATCGGAGTATTCTGGCACGTTCCTTAATAGTAACCTTTTAATCATCATTCATCAAGACAAACTGCAAATGTGGTTCTCTAATGTGAACTATTATTAGAGACGGCAGAGATGTGGTTGTTTTAGAAGACAAAAGAGATCGTTTCAGACATGTATCAGGATTTCAGAAAACATACCACTGTCGTGTAGTGAGCAGCCACCCTACACAATGGACGAGTCGCGACTTTGATTTCCCTCGCGGACAGTCAAATTTCAAACGTGAACCCGTCCGGAAAGGTATATAGTCCCTTATATTGATCTATACCTTTATCTGGTAAAATATTCATTTCTAGACCCTCTAGTTGCTTTGATAAATCTTCATTTTTAAACTTGCAACTGTAGGTTGGCGAATTCTGGTATTTTATTTAGAAATTCCTGTAAACTGGTTTACTCCTTAGGCGGGAATACAAGGGACTTCTTTCCTAGAGACGCTAGTTTGATTTTGAAAAAAAAAAAACATTCTTTCGCCTGATCCCAAAGTGTCTAGACGTGTATACAGTCTATGAAGAAATTGGCGCATTCAAAGTTCCATTTCTATCTTGGACGATTTCCTAAGCTTGGGATGATACCTCCTTAGAGATCAGGCAGACGAATCACAATCCAGCCAACAACCACCAACCCATACCATTCTGGGCACCAAGCAGATCCAAAAGTCCTGTATACTGTGCCACTACCTCAACATGGCAAGAGCTTGTTTGTGAGTTCCAGGACCAGCGGACAATTGCAGACACCTATGTCACCAATCAAGAGCTTTGTTGGGCTCTTATGCATTTATTGTGTCATCATCTGTGAGACCGACAGTGGGCATCACAGTCTTCAAGAGCTTTGGTGGGCTCCTATGCAGTTCTTGTGTCCTCGTTTGTGACAGTCAGCTTGTACCAGATCAAGTCGAGGCCCAACTACTGATTGAGTCAACTACAGTCGAATCACCATGGACTGAGGGGAGCATTGACCTACGAACTGGGCTAAGTGATCTTTTATTCACCCTTCATGCTCTATTCCCACAGCACCTGATCAGACCGATGATGAACTCATGTACTCTCCTGAACCAAGATCTGGCTGCTTCAATATCTGGGTGGTGTCATTGATTCCTGAGCTCCACTCAATGAACTCTTGTTGATCTATTCACTATTATATGTATATATTGTACCGATTACATGCACAAATTTTCATGGCTGACTTGGGTGTACCTATTTCACCATTCTAACTGTCTAGCTTTGATGATTGTGTGAGCAATAAGTGTTATATGTGTTAACATGGTTATGATAGTAGACTATCATAACCTAGGGGTTATCTTTTTATAGTTGTGGGGGTGTCCAGCCAAGTGTGCCTAGGAATATTATATATTTTGTAGTGCCAAAACCTGAGTTGCCCTACTCCTGAAATAAATTGAGCGTATATTGGCCACGGGGCATCCCTTAGACCAATACGAGCCAACGACTCAACATAATTATTTCAGAGTGCTGTTGGTTCTTAAGGAGAAATCCTTAAATTAGGCACGCGACATAAGCGATATGTGACAACCACGATGCGTCGAAGAAAACTATTTACATTTCAATTGGATTTATTCAGTTTGTATGCTTCATGTTATGTTTATGGAACTCTGTAGTAAAGCACCAGACGAGATACAGCGAAATATGGTTGGCAATAAATTGGGCAATGTATTGTTTGTGTCCGCATTATTTATATTTGTTGTAATTATTTTTTTATTCACGTGACTCATGCTATAAAAGACAAACTGCAAATGTGGTTCTCTAATGTGAACTGTTTATTAAAGACGGCAGAGATGGGGTTGTTTTAGAAGACAATAGAGATCGTTTCAGACATGTATCAGGATTTCTGAAAACAACGTTAAAGGACGAAACTCACAGTGATAACGGACTCCTTATATCAAACTTTAAAACAAAAGGAAAAGTAGACGAAGAGATAGGGAGAAGACTGTAGACAATTTGACCCCATAAAACAAAGACAAATTTGTGTTTGATATAATTGGAAACATTAGAGACAGAAGGTTGCCACAACATGGCGATAATCGTCAGCAGAATAGATTATAAAAAAGAAATGTAGCTTTATAAAATTTTAATAATATAAATAATAAATAAAAAGTGACTATTGAGAAACGTGTCAGAATACTATGGTAGTGATAAGATTGTCAAGCTGCTGAGCTCTCAGCACTTATAATGTGTCAAGTGTTCATTTAGGTTACTGTTCTAATCACTGTTTATCTTATCGTTTCTCTAATCTTATGGAAAGCAGTAACCTAATTGTTGTCCTTTAGGAGACGTCTCAAATCAACATTAGCGTTTATTGGTTGCTGTGTTGGTCTTTCCAAACATTTTTACCGTGCGGCAGTTTGCCATTGCTTTCTAAGTGGCACAGAGCTCGAGCTATTGTCAATATGAACACAATGGCAATACAATGGTGGCTGGAATTTTCACTTCTGGAATTGTTTACAAAAATCCTATGCTTAACTGTCTAACATGAATGTAACCTGCATTTTTTATCAGATAATGACCATAATAAGATTGTAGAGGTGTTTGTGAACTTTGTGTTTCTGACTGCTTTCATTTTGATGTAAGTTCACAGTCAAGGTCGTCGGACATGAACCGGACAAATCGTGATGGTCAATGAAACAGCAAAGCTACGTCGGCGTTAAGTAAAAACGTCGATGTGTCAATGATGTCTATGATGCCGAAGTCATGTCTATAGGCGTGCACACATGTCAGGGTGGACAGTTCGGTCACATATGCCAGTACGTCGATCTAGCTTACCAAAATAATTAAAATTAGGTGCTGAAGTTGGAGGCAACCAGCCAGGAGGCGCACTGTAAAAATCAGGATGCCACACACAAACGTGGTAATATATCTATATCTTCAAATAGACCTAGCCTCAAAATATTGCACGAGAACACTTGGGAAGTAAAAAATACAAAATCAGAACTAGAAAACACTTTGAATAAAGAGCAGATACATGTTTGTTACTTTCAAGTGACCTACCTGAAGCAAGACACAGCCTTTAAGATCAGAGGCTACCAATGTAACCGATCTGACCGAAAAGACAAAAAAAAGGGTGGAATACTAACCCTAGTTAAAAATAACATATTTGCATGCCAAATTGAAACATACATGGAAGGGACGGAGCATCAGATTCATAAGCTAACTAATCAACTATTACTGTCATAGCGAAGGCCCTCAAGCGCTGGATACAATAGTAGCAAATAAAGAAATAATTGTGAGTGGAAATCTCAACAGTCAGAAACCTGGTGCTACGATCACATGGATTGAAGTGGAGAGAAACTGGGAGGATGAAAACAGGATCATCCTCATTAATAAGCCAGCTGACCCACCAACCCTCTACTCGAGAGCAAGGGCTACTACCTCTAATCCACACCTAGCCTTTCATTCAACGTTAACAATATAAAAACTTATAACAATGCAGACAAAGTAGTAGAGGAGTTCAGCAAATGTACATTGCAGGCAGCCCTGAAAACATTACCATGAGGTGCACATTAGCAATGGAAACCATAATGGAATAGTGACCTAGAACAATTGCACAATGCTATTGAAACCGAGAGAAAGAAATATGAAATCAGACCATTTCAGGAACTGTTCAACAAACACCAACATTCTAAATCCAAATTTCAGAGAGCCAAGCTGCAGTCTGGTTAGAAGGGCATGTTGGCATGAAAGAAAAAAGTCTCTAAACTTTTTAATGGACACAAGGAATATGTTGAAGCTGGTAAAACAAATTAATGACGAAAGCATAGGCAGAAAGGCAAATATTACAATATATACAGAAGATGCCATCCTATCAAGAAAACAGGCTGCCGATAACTGCAGATTTATTTTTCTGAAAACAGCAACATTGATGTCAGCCCAGAGAAACAGAGAGAGGCTCGAGAGAAACGACAACACTCAAGACAAAACGATTAAATTCTCGAGGTCATGGGGGTACCAATTACATCTAGCCCGTAGGAGTTAGCAATATCGAACCTGAAAATGGGAAAGTCGCCTGGGATCGAGGAAATAAGCAACAAAATGATCAAGAGTCTAGGGACAACAGCCAAAACAAAACTACTGCAGATTTTTGAGAATTGTTCGGCCAGTTGCAAAGTTCCACAGAAATGGAGAGAAGCAACCATGATACTTCTCCTAAAACCAGGAAAGGATAGTTCCGATGCTTCCATTTATAGACCACTTAGCCTTACCAGCTATCTCTGTAAAACAATAGAACGCATTATCAACCTTAGACTCCAGTGGTACATGGAAAGTGAAAACATCTTCACGCCGCACTAGACAACTTACCTCTCTAGAGAAATTAAAGATGCTTTCTAATAAAAGAAGCTGGTGCTTGTGGTATGGATAGATTTGAAGGGAGGTTGTCATTACAATATCCATGATATTATTCCATACGATAGCATTTACTTCTATTCGTGCTTACTGCCACCTCGACCAATGTCCTCGGGGAGAGTATATATTCGACATCAACTTAAGCTCATGGATTAGAGTAAAACTAACTCTTGTAGCTGTGTGATAGGACTTCACACTTTCTATGACATAATTCATATATCGTCGTGATGTTGTTGTATTTATACGCACATTATATGGCATATCAGGACAGTAAACATTATATAACATACTAAACCTAATTTGTTGCTTAGAATGTTGTGAATGTTGTTAATAATCTTCAAAGCAGCCGCAGACAAAAATTTTAAAAAAACATCTCCTGTATGAGGCACTGGACAGAACTAAGATCACAGGCTGAAGAGAGGAAGATCTTGGCTGGGGAAAGTTAAAAACACAATTACACGTGTGCAGGCTTGATAACATTGGGCTAGAAAAGGTGTGGGTCAGTGTCCTAGCGAAAGTCAGACATGTGTAGGACTCTGATCTCAGTGGGTTTCTGAATGCAGGGACTGGCCAGCGGGCACTGCAGAACAAACTTTTCATGACGTCACCCAGTTAATGTGATTTTCTTTGCAGATGGCTCTGTGTTGAGAATCTGGCGAAGTTCTTTGGGGTTATTAGCAAAAGCGAAAAGCTAATGACGCGTGTCAATAGGTATTAGGATATAAGCGCCCTCATTGCTCTTTTCGTAGATATCTAGACTGACAGCAACAGAAAAACTGACCTGTACCAGCCCAATGTCATGGATCAGCTGGCTACTATGTAGAGTGATAGTGAGAGTGCCGCCATGACACTCTCCTTCCAGGAAACCAACACCACCGTCCCCAACTGCCAACAAACAATAAATGTGTTTTTTTTAACCATATATGTCAATGAATGAATGAATGAATGCAGGAATGAATCAAAAATTGACATCGTTGCACACGCGACATTCCCACACATGCTCCGTCCCCTTCTTTAGTAACCAACGAAGAGCCGACATATAAACAGTACCGGTTGCAACCCGACTGAAAGTCCGCCTCTGTTTACCATTCAATGTTGAAAATCTTCCAGAACTTCTGCTCACCGTCCATTGAATTAATCTTTCAGTGTATGAATTCCCTGCCTTTTTTTTTTTTTTTTTTTTTTTGCATTGTCCATTTGAACAGAATGGACCTACTGCACCCTGACCGCCTTGTCGCCACTCCAAACTGGCCAGTAATTATGTTGTTAAAAGTGGCCGTTTTGGGATTTGTTGAAAATCGGATGTGTTGGTCTTAAAAGTAGCAGATATGGCAGTCTAGGTGTAAACAAAACCTAACCTACCAGACATCCTTTTAAATGCTAACCCAGAAGAATCAGCAGCAGGATGAGGAGAAGTGAGAGGAGGAGGAGGCTGGGGGGGGGGGGGGGGGGGTGTAATCAAATATTGCAAGCACTGAATTTTTTTTTCTTCTAAAGGGGAGCTGCGTTGTCTTGAGACATGGTGTCCGCCTCGAGTGCTAAAGGTTTCGGGTTCAATCCTCGGTATGGGCAGGGATTTTTCCACGTGGACTTGGACTTCTAGTAATTCCCCCTGTCTATGGCCTGTGTGTATTGCTGTGCACGTAAAAAAAAAAATTCATTGGCAGCTGGAAATCGAAAATAGTAGCTTAACGGCGCTGCCGGAGCAAACATTTAGAGTAAAGTATACATAAAGTATTTTAGGATCCCCGCCGGTGCAACAGAGCTTGTGCACTGTGATGAGCTTCTTGGAACTCAAACTTGAGTTAGAAGAAAGAACGGAGCACTTATGGGTTACTACCCGTGCGTCATGATGTTGATTTGGTGTTCAAACTTTAAACCTCAAACCTCTTTTTCTAAAAGGGCAAACAACTGGAAAAAAAAAATAATAATAAAGAATAGGATTTATTGTAGACCAAAAGGCATGGGTCTAGCACAATTTCATTACTTCGGTCATAGTCCATTTCACATAAAATCCAAAAGACAAAATTAAACATTAGTAAGTAAAGTAAAAAAAGTAAAATCCTTTTTCACGCCCAATGTGCATCGGGCATATGGGAGGAGCGTCCCATATTTGGATGGGCACTGGATGGGTAATATGGTCAGCATTACGCCGGCAGTCTTTACTTTCCCATGACAGCCATCCTAGTACCCATTTTTAGGCTGGGTCGACCTTTTAATGAGCATCCTAAATCATTGCAACCCGCCATGTGAGATTATACATTTACCGTTAGGTTCCAGTGGGCAGTTGAAGTTCACCTGGTGTCGATTGATGGCTCTCAGGCAGTACGGTGTCAGCACAGGATTAGCGTTCTTCAAGACGTGAGTCAGCAGGGCAGATCCACGCACTAGAGGGACCTGGTAGCACAGACAAGGTGTCATCAGGAATCACGTCTATAAAGGTAACTGTGTGTGTGTTATTGTGAAGGTAATTATTATATGTGAGTAATTACTGGTATATAAAAGAATGAAAATGTAATGTTAAGCCATATCCAAATGGCATGAATAAGTAAAGGAAGGAAAGGACAATTTGTGAGTTCTAAGGCGCAAGAAGCTTTTTCTTAAAGCAATTCCTACCAGATGAATGATATGGTAAACATAAGGTCTTCTTCTGTATGTCTTCCTTGACTGCTTCATGTCTCGAGGGAAATATAAGGTCCTGCTTTGTTCGTTTCTGGCTGCTTCGACCAAAGACACACCGTAGAGTTCCTCTGAGGCTATCCGTCTATTTGTTCTTGGTGTACCTCTTGCTCTACGTCCCTCTCCTCGTTTGGTATATGCCTTGAATGGTATAGCATCAGAGGGCATTCTGTCCAATTAAGCAAACCATTTAATTTGCAGTCTTTGTGACTAAACGACCGCAGTGTTTTCAGAAGTTATTATGTTTAATAATTTCTTCTTTTCATACAATGAAAAAAAATTATATTTACTATGCCATAAGCCCAAATAATACTTAAACCATGTGGGATATAAAAAATTGTCCAGTCCTTAAGCCAGCAAATCAATCAAGCTTTGTTTAATATTACTTAACATTACCTAATCTAGCTAATCTTTCTACAAGCCGACAACAGAGTGTCATAAATGTTACATAACCAGCTAGACTGGGCCCTTTGAACAAGGAAATAAATTTGGTCAAGTAGAAAACTCCAAACCTGAGGGTTCCCCTGTACGACTTTTCACACCTGTGAGTGACACTGTCTGTAACTAGATTTTTCCACTTAAGAATTTATGATCAGAGTAGGGGCAGTCAAAATTGACTGACAGGCATGTATGTATGTGTGTGTATGTGTGTATGTATGTTTTGCATGTGAGTGTAAATGTGTGGTTGTGGGTGTCTGTACATGTGATTGTATGTGCGTGTATGCATGCATGCATGTGTGCGTGTCTGTCTGTCTGTCTGTTTGTCTGTCTGTCTGTCTGTCTGTCTGTCTGTCTGTCTGTCTGTCTGTCTGTCTGTCTGTCTGTCTGTCTGTCTGTCTGTCTGTCTGTCTGTCTGTCTGTCTGTCTGTCTGTCTGTCTGTCTGTCTGTCTGTCTGTCTGTCTGTATGTATGTATGTATGTATGTATGTATGAATGTATGTATGTGTGTATTAGGTATGTCTGTATATGAGTGTGCATGTATGAGAATGTAAGAGTATATATACGTATGAGTGAGTGTGTAAGATTGTTTACACATGATGTGTGTATGCATTATTCTATAATGTATATATTTCTTTATTATATCAATAACATGCATTATTGGTTGGTACTCTAAAAAATGAGTGCTTAAAAGGACCGAATGTCAGACGAGCCCAATTTGTAACCCTTTGAAAATAAAGTTTGTTGGTTCGTTCGTTCGTTCCTGTAGGGTAGGTAAGATACTAGAAAAGGGAAGGAGTTAACTTTGCAGACGAATTAGGGTGCATATGATTACTGCTAGGCATCTGAAATTGACTTCATAGTGCTGACAGCACGCCACAAACTCAGATCAACATTAGCAAGTAATTATATCTGTTTGAGTCTTGTTTGGCAAATTGCTGGAATGTTCCCAGATCCCATCGGGGTAGAGATCAGTCAGTTCTGACAACAGAAACAGAGAGTCCACGTTCACGAACCTACATTGTGTGGGAGATCGGCAAACTGGAAACAAGAAGGAACAAGGTGGAACAATGTGGGAAGAAGCTGGTAAAAATATGGGGGTGACTGCAGTCAAGCTTATACAAGGAATTCCAGAGAAATTTGACTAAAAAGCTCAACAAAATGGGCAAGCAGATAAACGTGAACAAAACAATACAACGTAACGTTACGGCCAGGCAGCCTTTTTCAAACACAAGTGTACTACACAAACGTAACAACGAGGAGAGGAGAGTATGTAGATCTCTAAGGGGTGACGTGAGCAACGTTTAAAAAAATGTGATGTGGAATAAATGAAATAAAATATATGAAATAAAATTAAATATAATGAAATAAAATAAAATAAATGATGTTAATTTTTATTTTTTATGGCTATATTTTTTAGCCATCGTTTATTTTTTTTTTTTTTTTTTTAATTTACAAATAAATTACAAACATTAATAGACCGGTACTTGGGTGGAAATAAGGAGTTAATTAATGTTTAATTAATAACGATGAGCTTTAAGAGTCAACTAATCACATTACAACGAATCATGAGGTGAAAAAAAAGACGTCAGCAGTGGATAAGACGCGCCACAGGTAAATACCCAAGCAGTCAGTCTTTGCAGGGAGTCCAAAGGGCTAAAGAAAACCACAGAAAGAACGCTGGAAGAGAATTATAGACAAGGGTCAAAAGACGGATTTGGTATGCGGATGGGGAAAAAAGACAAATAGATTTAGAAACTACTCTACGTTTGAATAATTTAAATTTTAAAAAGAAAGAAAAAGAAAAAAAAAAGAAGCAGCAAAAGCAGACAACACATCTTGAATGCACCACATTACTGAGTCATACAAACAAGAAGTTCATTTATAATGCAAACATACCTCCAGTGATCCGCCACCGCTTCTGTAGATAAAATTTGCATATAATTCTCCATATCCAGTGAGTTCTGGTTCACCAGCTCCATCAATGGTAACTCTGACCCCAGACCGTCCTGTAGGGAGAAGGAGGGACAAATCATTATCAATCACACGTGAGTATATTCTCTGCAAGAGTTTGCAGTAACTGAGATTCGTGGTAACATTGTGCCTCTGGTTCAATCCCCAGCGAAGGCATGGTCATTTTCAGAACTTTTTTTTTTTTAAATTATCGTGATTTCCGGAAGGGAGGGGGGGGGGGGGGGAGAGGGGGAGAACTGGCCTCACCACATCCATTGTAATAACTTAGAATTTGACATGGCCAAAATAGCTGAAGTTGCTAAGAGACTGCTGCTACTTTTGTAGAAACTGCTTCTACAGTAAGAAGTAGATGGGATATCAATGGTATCAGAGGAGAGCACCCTTCCTAAGTTGTTGTTACAAAGCACGCGGTAAGCCACCTACTTAACCATATTTTATGCTCGGCACAATGTATGGTGACTTGGATTAGGGCCTACCAGTGAAGACAAGAAAACTGAAACAGATATCAAGATCACAACAAATGGGACAGTTCTGAAGGGCATCGGTGAGTTTCTGACAGAATGTTACGAATAAAAAAAAAAACATACCAATAAAGGCACCTATAACAAAGAGACAAATTGTGTTCTTTTGTAGCATAATAAGGTGTTAAAGAAAATCATGTCAGATGTAAACATCAAGGGTAGAAGAAGCAGACATGAGTGAAAAGAAATTATGCTAGATGATCCAAGACCTCGGCATAGGGAAATATCATCAACAGATTTGTTCCAGGACACCAAGGGTCGAAAAAATGAGCAACGCATTGACATACATCTGTAACAGACTGGAGAACGACAAAAGACTACAGTTCAACAGCTTGAAGATCTTGATTTAGTCTGGTTTAAAAATTACCAAGACGCCACATAATTTTAGATGGGGGAAAATCTGGGTATAAAAGAGATTGACTCAGTATTAGGCCCCTTTTTGGCTTCCGGACCGACTCTGCAGAATACCGACATAGCTGTTGCGGCTTTGCACATTGGGCTAGCCAGCGGGTATGGCGACCGCAGGGAAAGGCAGTTGTCAGACTGATTTCGCAGGCGGTGGTACATTTCATTTGGTTAAGTGGTGGTAAATTTGATGGTTAGCATTCTAGATTCTGATCGAGCAAGTTGGTTGTTGTTAATGTTATTCGTGGATCACGCTGATGTTATGTTAAGTAAAACAAACAGATGTTTAATGTAGTAATCATAGTTCCAGTTGTTTTATGTTCAGCTTAAGACTTGTAGTTAGTGTGCCTAGTTTAGTTTATTTGTTACTTGGCTGAACTAGACTTTACACAGAAGATTTCTTTTCAGGGTGAGATATTTTTTATCTCACCCCCGCCTAAACATCCTGTTTTTTTTCTTCTGTTACTGGGTCAGCTTATGGTTGGGTTTTGGCTCCCATTCACCCATTCACCACGTGACATTGTTTGGAGCTCTTGTAGGTTCGGAGTCGAGGAGATTTCAAGGAGTAGATATCCATATTATCCTTTATAGTTATCTCTTCTCTTTTCCCCAATTACGAGATTATTAGTTACCCCCCCCCCCCCCCTTTTTTTTTGCCTTTACTTCTAGTACACATCATTGGCAAGATATGTGAACATTAGACAAATTTAAAATATCTTGAAATAGCAGACACTTTTGTCTATAAGTAACAGAGACCGTATACAATGACAGGTTCTTAAATTGACTCTGATCTAGGTCTGTAGTCATCGCGTCGACGCATACTGCTCTTATGTCTAAGAATGAAGACATGTAGACATTTTGCCAGGTTATGTGGGGTATATACTCTACAATCCGAAGGTTGCAACAGATTTTAAAATTATATAACGTACGAATAAGCACATCCTATTTTGCCCTTTTCATGTAAGACTAGGTATTCCATCCAATACCCAGAGACCACGAGCACGCGATGACTCTAAACCACATCATACCCATGGTTTTACTAACGTTATCTGTACTTTCAAATATACTAAATAATACATTTTCACATCATCGGCACTTGTAGATGCTCTGATATCATACCATTGAACCCTGACTGTTTATTGCCATCAGGTCCTTGGGTCATCTGGCGGACGTTCGATCCCATGTCATCCAGCTTGATCCAGGGCTTGCCGGCTTGTGAGGGCGATTGTTGCTCCATAAAGTTGGTCCTATCAGGATCGCTCCATCTCTCCAGTGTGTAGGCGTCATACACCGCACCAGTGCCATCAACAAGGGCTATTATTGGAAATGGAATACAGTGTCATCTTGGGATAACTAATGTCACGATTTGTTGTATCGTCAGCTTGCATCACCTAAGTACACAAGAAATCTGCTGACATCCTCAGTCAACTAATTACACAATGTGTTGCTGTCTTGCATAAACGAATTCTTCAATGAAAATGAACACTGGGGGTGGCACCTCAAACTTTGCAACTTATAGTGCTTAGTGTATAGGGAGAATACTCTGCTAGAATATGCTGTAATTGCTCTCATTTGGATAGTTCCATCATCAGTTCATTCAGACTTCTAGTTTATTTCATGATGTTGTGGCCCTATATGTAAAGCTGTCTTGATGTTCCGCGCTTTCGTTTCATATAATTCTTCAAAATAACTGTGACATAACACACACATATATATAACGATTAGTCAGTTATGTCTACTATAGACAATCAGTGCCTGTTCTAGAAAGAGAGGAGTAGACTGCAAGACCATTTGAACAGGTTAAGTTCAACATGCAGCAGACTTAACATGAAAATAAATAGACTACAACTAAAACTAAAGTATTGAAGGTCAGTAGAATTCATTGTCCGCTACGTATAGGGTTAAATATGAAGCAAGTTGAAGAATTCAAATATCTAGGAAGTTTATTCTCAGAGGATGAGAGAATAGATCGGGATCAAGGGGGGGGGGGGGGGGGGGGGGGGGGGGGGGATGGCAACGAACCAGTACACATATGTACCAAACGATACTATTATTAGGGCATCCACACGAAAGTAGTAACACCAAGAAACAGATTATAAACAGCAGATTCATACTAGTACTGTGCTAGCAGTGCAAAACTTGGACAGAGAAAAACCGCCAACTTAACCATCCGAGACAACGTTAGAAATTATATTATCATTAAGACTGTAGGAACAACAGCATGCAGCAAATTCATTGAGAAACAGAAAATCAAATGGTTTGGTCATCTAGTAAGCATCTAGTAAAAATGTAACCAAAACAACTACCAATGCCGGCTGTACACACGAATAGATCTGAAGTGAAATCAAGAAGTGGCTCTAGGAGACAATGGATTGATGACATTAAAGAATGTCTATATAGCCACGGAATAACAAAAGCCATTACGGCTCATCGAGCAATGAATCGAAATCTGGTCCTACCCGCGACGCTTAACAACTGAAGTGGAAATTGATGATGATGATAACATTTGTCTACAGCTCAGTACTGTAATAAAATATGTCAACTGTGTCTACAGCTCAGTGCTCTAAAATGATCAGTCAATTGTTTCTACAGCTCAGTGCTCTAATATGATCAGTCAATTGTTTCTACAGCTCAGTGCTCTAATATGATCAGTCAATTGTGTCTACAGCTCAGTGCTCTAATATGATCAGTCAATTGTTTCTACAGCTCAGTGCTCTAATATGATCAGTCAATTGTTTCTACAGCTCAGTGCTCTAATATGATCAGTCAACTGTGTCTACAGCTCAATGCTCTAATATGATCAGTCAATTGTTTCTACAGCTCAGTGCTCTAATATTATCAGTCAATTGTGTCTAAACCTCAGTGCTCTGATATGATCAGTCAACTGTGTCTACAGCTTATTGCTCTAATATTATCAGTCAATTGTGTCTAAAGCTCAGTGCCGTAAAATGATCAGTCAACCGTCTCTACAGCTCAGGGCTCTCATATGATCAGTCAACTGTGTCTACAGCTCAATGCTCTAATATGATCAGTCAATTGTTTCTACAGCTCAGTGCTCTAATATGATCAGTCAATTGTTTCTACAGCTCAGTGCTCTAATATTATCAGTCAATTGTGTCTAAAGATCAGTGCTCTGATATGATCAGTCAATTGGGTCTACAGCTCAGTGCTCTAATATGATCAGTCAATTGTGTCTACAGCTCAGTGCTCTAATATGATCAGTCAATTGTGTCCAAAGCTCAGTGCTCCGATATGATCAGTCAATTGTGTCCAAAGCTCAGTGCTCTAATATGATCAGTCAATTGTGTCTACAGCTCAATGCTCTAATATGATCAGTCAATTGTGTCTACAGCTTAGTGCTCTAATATGATCAGTCAATTGTGTCTACAGCTCAGTGCTCTAATATGATCAGTCAATTGTGTCTACAGCTCAATGCTCTAACATGATCAGTCAATTGTGTCTACAGCTCAATGCTCTAATATGATCAGTCAACTGTGACTACAGCTCAGTGCTCTAATATGATCAGTCATTTGTGTCTACAGCTCAGTGCTCTAATATGATCAGTCAACTGTGTCTACAGCTCAGTGCTCTAATATGATCAGTCAATTGTGTCCAAAGCTCAGTGCTCTAATATGATCAGTCAACTGTGACTACAGCTCAGTGCTCTAATATGATCAGTCAATTGTGTCTAAAGCTTAGTGCTCTGATATGATCAGTCAATTGTGTCTAAAGCTCAGTGCTCTGATATGATCAGTCAATTGTGTCCAAAGCTCAGTGCTCTAATATGATCAGTCAATTGTGTCTACAGCTCAGTGCTCTAATATGATCAGTCAACTGTGACTACAGCTCAGTGCTCTAATATGATCAGTCAATTGTGTCTACAGCTCAGTGCTCTAATATGATCAGTCAACTGTGTCTACAGCTCAGTGCTCTAATATGATCAGTCAATTGTGTCCAAAGCTCAGTGCTCTAATATTATCAGTCAATTGTGTCTAAAGATCAGCGCTCCAAGATGATCAGTCCATTGTGTCTACAGCTCAGTGCTCTAATATGATCAGTCAATTGTGTCTACAGCTCAATGCTCTAATATGATCAGTCAATTGTGTCTATAGCTCAGTGCTCTAATATGATCAGTCAATTGTGTCTACAGCTCAATGCTCTAATATGATCAGTCAATTGTGTCCAAAGCTCAGTGCTCTAATATGATCAGTCAATTGTGTCTACAGCTCAGTGCTCTAATATGATCAGTCAATTGTGTCTACAGCTCAATGCTCTAACATGATCAGTCAATTGTGTCTACAGCTCAATGCTCTAATATGATCAGTCAACTGTGACTACAGCTCAGTGCTCTAATATGATCAGTCAATTGTGTCTACAGCTCAGTGCTCTAATATGATCAGTCAACTGTGTCTACAGCTCAGTGCTCTAATATGATCAGTCAATTGTGTCCAAAGCTCAGTGCTCTAATATGATCAGTCTACTGTGACTACAGCTCAGTGCTCTAATATGATCAGTCAATTGTGTCTAAAGCTTAGTGCTCTGATATGATCAGTCAATTGTGTCTAAAGCTCAGTGCTCTGATATGATCAGTCAATTGTGTCCAAAGCTCAGTGCTCTAATATGATCAGTCAACTGTGACTACAGCTCAGGGCTCTAATATGATCAGTCAATTGTGTCTACAGATCAGTGCTCTAATATGATCAGTCAACTGTTTCTACAGCTCAGTGCTCTAATATGATCAGTCAATTGTGTCAAAAGCTCAGTGCTCTAATATGATCAGTCAACTGTGACTACAGCTCAGTGCTCTAATATGATCAGTCAATTGAGTCTAAAGCTCAGTGCTCTGATATGATCAGTCAATTGTGTCTAAAGCTCAGTGCTCTGATATGATCAGTCAATTGTGTCTAAAGCTCAGTGCTCTAATATGATCATAGTGCCACCCATTGTTGCAAATACAAAAGTCTGTGGTTTCAAACAACAACAAAAATCATACTTGTCGCATTTACAATATTTAACAAATTACTACTTTTACAAAATGATATGAAGTTGCCGGCATGGCTAACATGGACTACAAATACCGGCAGAAGTCGGATGTGTCGGCTGAAAGGCGCAAATATCGCAGCCATGGTGTAAACGGACACCACATATTTACGTCTTTAGATGAACGCAGAATAATACGATCTGAAGTATTCTGTTTTTGGCTAGGCATATATATTGTTTCAAGTGTATTTTGATGCATTGTGCACTTCTATTTTCATAACAACTTACATTCATATGGCAAAAGGATAACAGGCCAAACGTCTTTTAACTTAATGAAGTTGGTTACAAAATGACCAGTTGGCAATGGGGTCTTCTGTCGCAAGTTGCCAACTCTCTGGGGAGTCGCCTTTATTCCTACTTCGCTGGTAACTCCAAATATTGCCCCTGGATCGCTATTATCTAGCACGTTGTCTTGGGCTGCATGGCAATCTGGAAGGTTGGGCAAAGCAGCTTGGGCAATGCCTAAACAGAAAATAGTAACATATAGTTTGTAGCCAAATTTAGGACTTGGTTATTCTAAAACATTTGTGTAAGCATTGCAAACACACAAGCGACAATGATGCTATATATCTGGTCAAAGAAACATATAATTAAAAGAAAAGCCAAGATAATAACATGAGCCTGAACTGATTCAAGAACCGACATCACAGCACTCAGGGCATTCCTATAAGCGCTCCGACTCCATATTCAGCAGCTAGCGAAGAGTTCCGATACTATTGGTGCCAGTAGCATTCTGATTAAACGTCCGTCTTGCCTTTCCTTTGAGTCTCGAGCATCTGCTAGAACCTCTCGTCACTCCCCCCTGCATCAATCTCACCAGATGGTGATGATCCATCTGCTCCTCCGAACTGTACACGCTCTCCCATAAGGCACTAACCACGTCTGCCTTATCATGTATCAGTATTCCACCAAGTTGTGCAGAGCCAGCCAGTCTGTCCGCCGGTTAATTTCCCAACACACCAGCAAGCCCCGGTGAAAAATTCCAAACAATACTCCTCACCCGTGTCCTCCGCAGCGAAGCATGCCACTCTGCACGAAGCATACCTGTTCTGATCTTCCTCAGCATGCTTTCTGAGTCAGTTACAGTCACATTGTGTGTGTGTGTGTGTATGTGTGTGTGTGTGTGTGTGTGTGTGTGTGTGTGTGTGTGTGTGTGTGTGTGTTCTCTAGCCAGCAGAAAGCTGCAGTGACCGCCTC